TTTCTGTTGGTAAAACTGGCCTCTGCACCCTAATTGAAGCAAATGCGCATCAAATGCCTGGCAGATTCATGATTAGAATAGTGCTGAGAATGTCCTCTGATATTTTTGTTCAGAGGCCAGTTTTACCAAAAAATACCAGCCGGCCGCCGAAATAAAATATCCAGCCGAAAAAATAGCCGCCACACAGCCACGAGTTTCACCAACAAAAAAATTCCAGCCAACATCGGCCGGAAATATTTGTCGCCGGCAGTCAGCTGATATTTTAATATCGATAATGGTCAAGGAGATTGATAAATTATTTAAAACATGTTTCAAATAAAGTTAAGCGTGTTTTTTTAAAGCAAATACAACAAAGATTGAGAAATATTATTATTGGAAAACATAACATATATTTTCAAGAGTTGTAACCACAAAATAGACCATAATAAACTTGCCAATACAAGACCACCAAATTGTAAACCTACGTCATTTATGACGGTCACGATAGGAAGCGTGCGTTTTAGTGGATCTTTTTTTTCCTGTCAGCCTATTATTTTTTCATTTTTACAATACCTTCAACTTGCAATTAACCTTTTTGTCTGCTTTTAGTTGCACCTTGTAGAAAATAATCGTGTCGAACGTGCACGCAATGTATGGACCCCCACTCCCACCTTTTATGAGGTGGGGACTATAATAGATGGGACCCGCTCCCGACGCGGGAGTCGCACCTCTTTCCTAGATGTCAAAAGAGTGGGGAAGAAGCGGCAAACATTGTTCCCAGAGGCGCCACCTGAAGCTGGACGGACAGTTCCGCTGCCGAGCGACTAGCGAGTGAACTGCGGTGCTGCGAGGCGGCTTCGCGCGTACTGCATTACACCTACTTCTAGGACCAAGAGGGCTAAGGATTCGCCAAAGCCTATATGGGTAAAGCCTTGTGCCAAGGCGAGTGTCATACCTCAGGAAGATACCTACCCAGATTAACTGCACAGCGGTCATTGCAGGGCTGAGGGCGGTCGTTCGCCCCACTTCGGCGAGGTGGAGGTCATGCTGCCCGGCTAGGTGGTTTCAGCCGATATGCAGGCCCCGTTTGCCGGGCCCGGTCAAGACGAAGGAACGCCACACAGCAAACAATATAAGCTCCGGCCCCGCTACACTGGTCCGGCTCGTAACAATACCTGCGCTAGCTTCGTCGACCGTCGTTCGACTGCGCCCAGTACCGCTCAGTGGAGAGTCCTGCCGAACTCCTCCGCGTGTGCCGAGATCATTCGTTAAGCACGGACACAATCGTCCGACGGAGACCGCTTTACATGATGATCGCGTGGTGACCACTTTTCGCCGGCTTCCACGCCCAGTCGAGCCGTCTGGCTACGCCCCAACCAAATGATCGTTCTAAGCCTTTCGACTGGTTTGCAAAACTCGGGTCTAATATCGAAGTATTTGGGAGTTAGGACACGTTAAATCCGTGTTCATGAACAAATATAGGTACATTATGCAACTAAAAACGCCTTACCTACTTTAACTTTTCTGGGCTGATGACAAGGTAAACACCTATTCATTGTAATATTTCTAAAATGTAAATAAATCATGAGCGATGAGCGTAAAAAAGGTGAAAAAAGCGATCAACTAGAAGCTAGCGTGGAAATCCACTGACGTAGGTCGCCTCGTACTGGCGCAGCTCGTACAGCGGCACCGGCGTCTCCCGCACCCGGCCGTCCACCTTGACCGCCTGCGCCATCAGCCGCTAGAAATGGCTGCGCTGCCGCTCAAACATTAGCGTGACCGCCTGGCCGGCCCGGCTAACGCGCGCCGTCCGACGCACGCAGTGTGCCTTCAACAGCGCCGGGATGTCGTACGACACGACCGCGTCCACGGCGTCCACGTCAATACCGCGCGCCATAGCCTCGAGCACACCAGCATCTCAGCTGGTGCGCGCCGCCGCCGCGCTGGCCCGCCGGCACTGCCTCAGGGAACTCGGCCTCGCGCGCACCCAGCACCGACAGCGGTAGCTCCAGCTGGTGCGCTGCCTCGTTCCAGTTGACCAACACGAGCGAGCGCCGCCAGTCGGGCTGTCGGAGCAAATTGTGCATCAGCAGCGGCTTCAGCGGCTGCGGCGCCACCACGTTGAACGACTCGCTCAGCTCGGCCGGCGTGGTGAACCTGCCGACGAACTGACCGGGCAGTGCGACGGCGGCCGGCCGTGCCGGCCACCAGCAGTCGCGGCTGGAACAGCGACATTCGCTCCAGCTTCTCCGGCCTCCGGGTTCTGTGACAGGGTAGCCAAGAACGGCAGCTTCTGCAGCGGCAGGTGAGGCGCGCAGACGGCGGCGGCCGTCAGCCGGCCGGCGATGCAGGGCGGCGGGCCGTGGCTGCCGCCACCCGCTCCACCGCTTTCAGCCAGCCCGTCTCGGCCATCTCGATCAACCGGTCGGCTTCGTCGATCACCAGGTAGCGCAGGTGCGCTAGCGAGAAGCCCTCGGCGCTGGGGGGTATGTGATCCATCAGCCAGCCAGGAGTGCTCACCACGATCAGCCAGGGAGACCGGGCCGCGCGGCCCCACCGCCACCAGTTGGTGCCCCCCCCCCTCGTGCCACTTCGTCTCCACCCAGCAGCCGGACGCAGAGCGGCGTGTCGGCGTCGTACTGGCGGAACACGGCGGGCACCTGAGCGGGCAGCGCCTGTGTGGGTAGCACAGCTAGCGCGCGCACCCGGCGGCCGGCGCACCGCGGCGCCGCGCCTGCACCAGCGGCAGCACGAACGGCAGCGTCTTACCGCGGCCGGCCGGCGCCGAGACGCAGAGGTCGGCCGGTGGCAGCGGCGACTCTGCGGCCGCCAGCAACTCGGGCAGCACCGTCACCTGCACCAGGAACACCTGTTCGATGCCCTCGGCGGCCAGCCGGGCGCGCAGCTCGGGGCAGAGCGCCGGCAGATTGGCCGGCGCCGGCCGCCGGTCGCCAATCGGCTGCGGGTGCGCCAGCCAGTCGGGCAGCGCACGCGGTGCACGGCCTGTCGGCTCGAGCGCTCCACCTCGTCCAGCACGGTGAAGTCGTCCGCGGCGGCGTCTCCGTCCGACTCGGAGGTGTCCTCACTGTCGTTATTGGCGACGGCGGCTGCCGCTGTGCGCTCAGTCAGGTCGGCCATCACAGCAACACTCGCCGATGATTGGCGTCATCGAAACCGTCGGACGACGGTGGATTCACCACCGTTTTTGCAGCAGAGACTGGAAAAACCTCAGCAATAAACAAGGAAAAACATCACAACATGCCACAGCCCGCAATTGTGCATATTGTCATTTTATTTCTCACATGACAGAAAATATTGGCTGCCTTATTCTAGGAACTGGCATGAAAAACATAAGCTAAAATCAAGCTAAGTGAATTATCATTGTATTTCAACATGAGACTGGGAAAAAATCCTTGTCACTGTCAACATGACCAGCGTAACGGACGGGCTGCATGAACATTTTGGCGCATGATCTGAAACCTCTGTGTGCAGAAATTTCAGCGCTGAGGTGAACAAATAACATTTTGACCGCAATTTGCCTGGTGCCTCCACAATTTAGCAAAACTAACTCACAATACTTACAGCCAGTTTTAACATGATCCCTGCATGACTCATGCATGCAAGATACACATGCATTCAATATCAGCACAGTGCACACTGCACACACATCAGTTATGGATTCATTTACATTTTACAACATTACTATTATTTTCTTTTCCTTCAATATTGGCAGCATGACTTGCTGAGTTCAGTGGCACAATCTTATGACAGCATTCAGCAAGTTTGTTCGGGTTCGCAACCATGCAAACTTTGCACGTTTTGCTTAAAAAACAAGCCTTTATACATTTCTTTCATGCTATTCAATTTCTTTTTCAAATTTATTCTATCTTGAATTATCTTGAATTACTATCTTGAATTATTATATCTTGAAAATCTTGCCATTTTGGTCTTAGCAATGTCAATGCACCATGCCGCACAGCTCGAGTAAGTTCCACCCAAAAGTAGTAGTGGTATCAATAGCTGGCACCTTGCAATGTCAAATGTAGATGAATATGTGAAAACAGTGACATATTTATTTAAAATCTTGAGTCCAATGAGCCTACCCTCTCTGCCTCTCCTTCCAGCATTTCTTCAATCACCTTCGATTTTCGAAAATGACCTTCCATCATTATTTTCCACTTCCGTGCGAGCAATGAACTTGTAAGCTGACCACTAGTTAATGCGCTATCATCTTGCTGTTGGGCGCTGGTAGCAAGAAGGTAATATAAAACGAAAAAAACTAACACCACAACACCAAACACCCGTCTTGTTGGTTCCTTTTGGTCCTGCCTGGTGACAAAGGCTCTTTCTTTACGCAATATCATCAGTATTCCTCTTCTAATCTTGAAGCCTAGATGCTTTACAAATTGGCCATGAATGATACTAAATTATTATATCAACTGAGAAGCGCAAATCACGATAATTAGTAACAAATGAGGCCAATTATCCCCACACGACATCAAAAAAATAGACGGGGTCGCCTGTCTATTTTTTGGGGCTGTTTTTCTACATATAATGGCGCAGATAAACACTCCATTAATGCCGCATTTGCCGTTGGTGAAACTCGTTGGCTATTTTTCTGGCTGATATTTTTTCACGCCGGCGGATATTTTTTCGCCTGGTTGGTGAAACTCGTCGGCTGGTTTTTGACAGAAAAACTGCGCCTGGCTGCTATTTTTCTGTTGGTAAAACTGGCCTCAGATCCGACTATTTTCAAATTCATTATTTGAAAATAGTCGGATCTGAACAAAAATATCAGAGGACATTCTCAGCACTATTCTAATCATGAATCTGCCAGGCATTTGATGCGCATTTGCTTCAATTAGGGTGCAGATCTGCTTTTGTATGGGGCCGTACCCAAATCTGCTATATTTGGGTACGATGACGTCACATGCGTACCCATTTTTAGCAGATTTCTGCTAAAAATAGCAGACTGCTAAAAATAGCAGATTTTACCATAGTTTCCCCGACTGATACCTAATTAGTTACGACACCAGTAGTGCAAGTTGAAGCTACGGTTGGAATCGATCAGAACTCAGATCAATGTTAAAGGAGTCAGAGTTAGAGGGTAAGCCAGATTCATCGGAGTCTGGGTCCATTGAATAAGTGAAATAATGGTCATATTGATATTGATATGCAATCCCGTCTTTCCCAGGTCAAGGTAAAGGTCATGTCTAACAAATTGATGATTCCACGCGACAAGATAGAAATGTCTTGTCATTTGTGCACTTTTAACCCATTAACTATCAAAACCAATGATAAATAAACAATTAAATCTTTTAAAAAAACAATTACCTCACCTAGCGAGAGACGACATTCAAGTTTTAGCATCACTCCTACTAAAAAATTTTACTGCCATTCAGAGCTGATGACGTCATACAAAAATCGTTTGTTTTTCTGTATGTATTTTTTTAAACCTATTTTTGCTGTTTTTTTTTTCTAAATTCGTCATGTAAATGTGAAAAAGAAGTAAGGAAAATTGTTCACTGCCAGGACGGGAAATTCGAACATAATCATGAAAGTTAATTTTGCAAAAATTTGAATGACTATTGATGACGTCGTTTTATTTTCACATTCTGAAGGAGTGTCTTTTATTTTGCTGTCCTTGATATTGACATTTGAGGCAATCGCGGTGTAGTGTTTTTTTGGGGGGGCGGTCGCGCGAAGAGGTGGTGGTTGCGGTTTTCTCACACATATTTTATGTGTGATTGATCGTTTTAGCATTTTAGGTTAGCTACAGGTTGAGACGACACTTAGGATTGAACAGTGTGTTTTCTGCTGATTGGTACAGCTCATATTAGGAATTGAATGCTTTTAGATGCTGCCTTTCGTGTGTGGTAGCTGGTAAATAGTCTTGACACCATAACAAATATATTTAATAATCTTACGATCAGTTAAATCAACCATTGATGCTTAAAAAAACAACCAGAAAATGTGGCCAAGTAGTTACGATATAGGCTGATGGATGTAGTTGTGCTGATAATGTATACCTTCACCTACATGTGTTACTTATAGCAAAATCGTGCACTGATGCCAGCGTGTTTTGTTTATAATAGTTTCTTAATTTATTAGCTCTCATTGATTTTTTGCATGATGTTATTAATGATGGCTAAATAATGTTTCTGCTGGTAGCTACCATCATTTTGAAGTCATGTTTGAGAATGCATTCCAGGCTGTCATAGTTGTGTTTATTATTTTATTTCATAAGATCATTGATAGATGACCATATTATGTGTTTGCATACACCTCCAGTAGCATATTGTTGTTAAATGTAGAGTTTCTGATTTTCCCATTCTTTGTTTTACAGATCAGCTGATTTGTAGCACCCTGCCATGAAGATTTTGATGTGAATTGTGATATGTCAAGAAAGGAGGAGTTGGGGTCATCTCAGCTAAATATTAAGAGATAGTATGAGCTGGGAGTATGAGCATATTTGTTGATCTTCATGCTTAGCAGTTAGCCCTGTAAGTTCAGGTAAATAAAAAATATTTAGGCCTGTTGCAGAATGCTTATTGCTTAGGGCATGTAAAATAAAGCCACTAGGCCTTACAAAGATTTATGATATCCCAAGATATCTGCTGAGGTAATCTGTAGTGCCAAAAAAAGCTGGATTGAATATTTTTGAGGCACCAAACATTTTAACATGTAAGAGCATTCATAAAGGATACTCTCATACAGCCTTCTGCTATAGCACATCCTAAATCCAACTACTTATTGATAATTTGGACCCATTTTTAAACAATACTGCCTACTAATTAAACTTTATTTCTAAGTTGTGAGAGATGGGAATTGCATGATGTCATGCTGGCTTTATCAAAGGCCACAGTAAGGCAGGGACATATATTGATTGATCTGCATGTTTGTGAATATAGGTTCAGCTATAAATTTGTTCAGAATAATCCTTTATTCCTCCTTTTGCAGGTGTGATGGCGACCGAAGTTCTTCTGCTAACAGCAAATGTTGGATCTATTTTCGAGGATGTAAGTTCAGTTCAAGTATATTAAATTCCTGATTCACTATCTTGTTCATACATGTACCCATGTTCATAGAACTAGAAGTGACTTCTTGTACTCTTTTGACCCACCACCAACTGACTGGAGGTGCTGAATGGCCTCTCTGTGAAGTGCTGCTTATTTTTTAGAACTCTTTTTTTGTCCTTGTTGCTTAGTGAATAAGGTGCCCAACTGGTTACCGACTCAGTCAGTGACTCAGTGCCGGAAATGAGGCCGCTTTCTGGTCCCGGCGTTTTATTCTCCTCGCGGGCTAATCCCGTCCAGCATTTAGCCTTTCGGGACCCACTCAGGGTCGTGGTTGTTTTCGCCGCTCGCCCCAGTCGAGATGCAAAGTTAATAGTCACACGAAGCTTATTTAGGGCCAGCCAAACCAGGCTAGTCTGGAGTTACCTACTGTTAAATGTATGCATATAGATGAAAGAAAAAGGTTTTGTAGAATCGATTAATTTCGAAGTCGTATATTCAGAGACCCCAAATAAACTTCCTGCGACCATCAACTTTGCATCTCGAATGGGCCGAGCGGCGAAAACAACCGCGGCTCTGAGAGGGTCCCGAAAGGCTAAGCGCTAGACGGGGCTAACTCACCCGGAGAATAAAACGCCGGGACCAGAAAGCGGCCTCATTTCCAGCACCAGTGTCCAATGGCCGTCAGTTTGAGGCAGGGAGAGCACATACTGACCTGCATTGTTATTCAGACCAGAGGCCTCTTGCACCAAAATCCTCTTGCACCAATGCTTGGATTATTTTGCATCGTATACCCAGTCCAAGTCTCAAATGCAACAATTTGCGTGCAAAACTTAGCAAGCACATGTAGGATTATGCATTCGGCTATTGCAAACAAATTTACCACCGTTAGATTAGGTTATTCTGAAACAGGTTTTTCGATTTTACCTAGCTAGGTAGTTTGGTGCAAGAGGCCTCAGCTTGCAATTGGCCAAAATGCAATTGGCTATGCTAGACCCAGGAACTTGTTATCATTTATCTACGTCTATGATATATTAAAGTTTTGGCTCAAAATCCTGCTGGTGAACCAGGCGCGGACGATATGCCCGAGTGGTGGGCCCGTGATGACACACAACAAGCTCCGCGTAGTGATCACCTGTGCTCGTGACCATTCAGACTTAGTTTCTGTGCGGGTCTCAATGCGGGCATTATGGGCCGGGCTGGGCCGCTCATACTGAGATTTTTCCGTTATATGGGAAAGACTCCGCTCGCTTCGCTCGCTCCGTAATTATTCGGACGCCCCAACCCCCAAATCATCATCATCATCATCACCATCGACTAAATTTCCGTTAAAAATAACTCGCGACTGATATTGCAAAATTCGTTCAGCGTCTTTTTTTCATGCATCGGTATTCCATTGTTTTGGAACGTTGTATTTTTTCGTCGAAAATTGTGTGTGCTGAGGACGATTTTGTACGTCAGTGCACACCAGCTTCGGTAAAAAAGAAACATATTCTTGTCCCGACCATTGATTGTTGATTGCAAATGCAAATATAGAACACTGACAATATAAAACTATGAGCTCTATAAGACGGGCATGCTGGATGTACAAAATCAATATTCGTCAGATACGATATAGAAATCGCTCTGAATTCACATTTTTTACGGTTGCGAAAAATCCGGGCTCATGTAAAATAGCAATACCTCACTAACCTCTTTGCGACTCAATAGCGACATAATGGCCAAACGACACGCTTTCAAAGCGCTAGCGGCGCTCTCGGCCCGACTAACGCTGTAATCTCATAAAAGAGATTAGGAAGACTCTCCTCTTCACTCGGCTTCGCCCCCTTCAAACCTGATTATTCTTATCCAATTGACGTCTGCTTGTGACGTGCATACAGCTGGTATGATAAAGAGTTCCTTGTCAAATAGGTAGATGACGTTGCACTTAAGTCGCGACCATGTAAAGTTCAAGGGTAGGCTGCCTTCGAGCCTGAGAGGTGGGGAGGTGGGAGGGGAGGGGGTAGTGCGAGCTTGTGACCTGTTGAACCAACCCGGCTGGACCAAACTGCTTCATGTACTGGCTTACTACGGACTTATTAACCAACTCACTTTCCTTTTGCAGCCCCATCATATGCTGAAAATATGGATCGACGAGTTTCTGAAGGTAAGGATGGCAAAGTAATATTTTTATGTTTTACTGAAAAGCCGTTTAAAAAACCTTTTTTTCTGGTAGCAAAACAGCGGCGCCGTTCTATGATATGCTCCATTTTGTTCTTAAGAACAGACTGGTATTCTGCTCACGGTAAAGAGCCAATAGTGTCGCATATTCAGGTTCCGTTGTAACCTTGGCTGTTTATGAATTAACCCTCGCCCGTATTGGTGTTTTTTCTAGCCGCGAACGTATAAGGGAGGTCTGTTGGACCCCCCCCCCCCTTGCCGTTTCGCCCCTGATCGAGCTAGAGCTTCGCGAAAAAAAAACGAGCGTGTTGTCCGTGACGAGAGGAAGCCGATTATACCCAATTTTAAGGTCCTAGGTCATCGGTTGACCTTCCAGGTCAGGTCAACCGATGACCTAGGAAAAAATCGGGAAGTTGCGACCTTCGGGAAAAAGTCGGGAAAATTGCGGCCTGTTAGAAAGTCGTGAAGCGTGGCTGCTATGGGGTTTTTCGGGGTGCTGATCACGATTATCATGTTAGTTTTGATCACAGATGATGTTTTCATGCATTTAGGCCAGGTCGAGTCAGGTCAGGTCAACCAGTAAGGGTATTCGTAGTAGGTGGCAACCGCCTCTGACAGCTTCGTAACATATTACGAAGGCACCAAAACTACATCGTAAATGTTCAAATGGTTGCTAAATTCGAATTCAGCTCCAAAAACCAGCCTAGAAACATGTAAAACTCGAAAAAGTGAACCGAGGTCATCAAAGGTCAATGACCTGACCTGACCTTCCGGTGACCTTGACACCCACCCTAATGCATTGGAGCAACATCATATCCCATGTTCGAACGCTTAAAAACACGAAAAGACTCAAACGCGCGGCTAATGCGAGCCGACATACGCCGAATCGCGATTCCGGCCAAACATGGTCTCGAAAAGTAGGTCACAGGTCAAAGGTCATTAGGGTCAGGGTCATGAAATTTTCAGGGTAGGTGTAAAATTGATTAACGCGAGGGTACTGAAAGTTTCGTCGCGATCGGCCGCTTTTTACGCGATTTATTCGCGAAAAACCGAGCGGGGTCCGTTCGACCCCCCCCCCCCCCCTATACGGGCGAGGGTTAAGGTACCTAATCGTAGAACGGTTGACTTGGCACTATATCGTGAGCACTGAAGAAAAGTGATCTTAGGCACTTTGTTAACCCGGCGGCCGCTGGGCCTCCCCGCCGGCCGCTGGGGGGGGGGGCACATAGTTGCCCCCCCCCCCCTTTACTTCTGCGACGATATCGTCGCAACGCGAAGAGATTGAGAAACGAAACTTCGCGCACATCTTCCTTAATACCTAGCCGAGGTTGTGTCCAGATTTGGTGTCGATCCCATTTGAAATCACGTCACAGTGACGTCAGAAGTCAAATTACAGATTTGCGACTCTGGCAGGTTCCTCACGATATATCTGACATATGAAAATGAATATAAAGGACTGATTATATGGTCAGGAACTAGTTGAAAGTGTACTTAGATGTTTTCGGATGACAGTAGATGCTGCCTGGTTCATTTACAGTTGTGTTTCATGCTCAGCGATATCAGAAACGGTCCATATCGGAAAACGACAACTTTATGACGTCACTGTGACATCATCTTAAATGCTACAGCCACCAAACTTTTCTCAAACATTGCTTAGGTATTCATTTGAAGCTTTGCCAAGTTTCACGTTCGTAGCTCATCAGGTTTCGGAGATATTCCACAAAACGTAAAGGGGGGGGGGGCAACTTTATGCCCCCCCCCCACCCCACCCCCAGCGGCTCGTGGGTTAAGCTCTGAGTACCTTCTGTCGCTGGAGGCCGGCCCGCGGTCATCGCTGTTTGCGCTGTAACGAGAACCGTAGATGCGTTTATGGCGAATGGTTGATAGCTCGGAACGATAACCAGCTTTTCCTTTGTGTCTCCTAGCTGATACGGGAACGGAGGCCCGAATTCGTGGCACTCCATTGTCAAGAAGTAGGCGGCAAAAACTACGAGACCAGTATGCAGCATGTCGACAGCTTTGTTAGGTGAGCGATGCGACACTTTTGCGCCACGCTGGCACTGTCGGGGTTTGAGTGGACAGTTGGCTACGATATCGGGGGTGGGACAAACTAACAGCCAACACAACATGGGAATGTCTTGTATCATGGGAAATTTGCACCATTAGACGTCCTGCTTGATAAAGATCTGGCTCACCTGGCTCCATGAGGTATGCACTTTTTATGTTTTCTTTTACTTTTTCAATGTCGTCAGTTGAGGCTTTCCTGTTTCATACATTGCTTTTAGCATAACATATATCAAATACGTTTAGCTAGTATTTCGTCGTGGTGACGTCTTTGTTCCTTTATAGCACATCTGCTATATCTATCTTTGGATAAGTTTTATGAGACCATTTAACATTTAACATGGTAAACTAGTTTTCATGAACAGCGAACATTCAGGCCTAGCGTACGTTTCCAGAGAGATAATACCTGAAAACAGAAAAGCAAGGAATCGAAAAAATGAACTCTTTATCACGTATTCGGTATCCGTCAGTCATCAGGCGGCCCCGCTGGTCTGATGTTTGTACTCTGGCTGTGGCCGGTCGTGCTCGATCCGCCGGTGACAGCAGACAGTGACCCTCGTCCCTGTGACTCCCCCCAGGGACGTGTTGGCCAGTCCAGAGATCGACAGCCAGTTCGACCGGGCCGTCATACTGCTCGACAAAGACTTTAACCGGGCGGCCAGTTTCACGGCGCTGGGCAACCTGTACCTGATCAGCCGCCGGCTGCAGCAGGCTGACCTGTGGGACTGGGCCGGTGAGACACTCGGCGGCGCCTCACTTGTAGACAGTAATCACGGGGAGAGTCGGGGTGTTCTAGTGCACCTCCCACAGGGAGAGTTGTGGGAGAGTTTTGAGACATCCGTGCAACCATCGCAGCGAGAGCTGTGACAAACTTTGTTTCGTTCTAAGTACGTTAGACGTGATTGCTTCTTATGCCTACTGCAGTGAGAGATTAGACGCATTAATAACTGGCCTGGCAGTACAGTCAAGTAATGACTATCCAGCTGTGTCCCGTGTGCCTGTCGCAGTGAGAAATGTGACACATTTTACTACCTAAAGCGTATATTACAGACTTGTCATAACTGTCTGGTGCACCTGCCGCAGCCGAGCGCTACCGGCCGGTGGAGGGTCACGAGGTGCACACGGGTGACCTGGCCGCCATCTCCGAGGCCGACAAAGACAAGTTCCCGCAGGAGTACTTCCCCAACTGCAAGTGGTCGCGCAAGGGCTACCTGCGCACCCGCTGGCGTATACGTGGAACTGAAATCGACTTAGTCAACATTCATCTCTTTCACGACGCGTGTAATATGATCGCCATTGAAACGGTAAGGGCGCCGGTGGATTCTTAAACCACCGCTAGCACATGTAGGGTAAATGTGGATTTGTGGGTGCAGGAGGTCAGAAGTCTGCGAGGCCAGAAATTAAGGGTATATAGGGGTATGCTGAGGGATATGCTGTCGTCGCATATGTTTAAATTTCAACGTACCAGCGAACGAGCTAGCATATCGGCGATGAGGCGCTAGCGGATCCGACTGGTGTACATCAGGCTTTTGGTGCTGTTTTAGTGCAAACATATCTGGAGAAAGTGCCACGCTCCATTGCTGCCTGTGCAGGGTTATGTCCGGTGCAGCCGTGCATTTAGAGATTTGAACACGGTCGTAAATGTTTGGATAATATTGGCTTGAAAGCGCTGATTTCTGTGATCACTTTGCACGGTCGTAAATGTCAGTAATCCGATGTTATGCTTTTCAAACTCTCCGTGTTATACAATACTGAACGAGGCCGGTGTAAATAAATTTTCAAGACCGAGGTCCTTGCTGAATTTTTGAACGAGGCCGAAGGCCGAGTTCAAAAATCAGTAAGGACTGAGGTCTTGAAAATTTATCACCGGCCGAGTTTGGTATGTATTTTACTGTATGCCAATGATAAAATAATTGTCTAGACCGAAGCTCTTAGCCATTTTTTGAACGAGGCCATCCCAAAATGTTGACTTGGTAATTCGTTTTTGACCGTGGTCACTTTGCTTACACCAGTTATTACCACACCCCTCAGGCTAATGTATTTGAATAGGCCAGGCATACAGTAATGAATATGAATGCATTTTGTGGTACGTAGACGCTGCTTTCGGTTATTGGTGCAAATGACCCTCATTCAACGCTTAGTCAGTGTTGGTGATATATGTTCAGAATATACAGCAGCACCGATAGTTGATACCCCCCCCCCCCCCGGCGCCCAGAGTCCGTCTCCGTACAGCGAGAACCGACGGCGGGCCCTGCAGCACACCCTGGACCGGTTCCACGCTGACCGGCACAGCAACGTACCCTTCTTCATCTTCGGAGACTTCAACTTCCGGGTCAACGCGCACGGTGTCGTCAAGGTAGGGCTGTGTTCAGGTTGTCATAGGTGGATAGCGATCACTGCCGTGTGCTATTTTACAATTTGTTGGCGTTCTGTCATTAACCCCAAGTCGGTATGATTTGTTACCGTCTCATCCGACATTGGTCATAATAACAGGGTGATTACGGAGCGAGCGAAGCGAGCGGAGTCTTTCCTTAGATTAACGGAAATTTCTGAGTATGAGCGGCCGGCCGTGCGGACGCTTTTGCGAGGCTTATATCTCAGCAACCACTTGACCGATTTACACGCGGTAATTTTTGTAGGGTAGCTTCATTCCTTCTACCAAGTATTGGACTATTCCCGATGCATGCGGGTGACCCCTTATGCACGTGCCACGTGCAAAACGAAGAGGTGTCAGTTTTGTAATTGTTGCAATATCTCGGTAACTACTTGGCCGATTGCGCTGAAAGTTGGCATGTAGGTAGGCACCCACTAGGCACTGCATATCCATGTGCCAGAGTTGGGGTGCTGCTGCACGTGCGCACGTGCAGGGGTCATTTCCAGATCTCGAGAACGGCTGGACCGATGGCGCTCAAATTTGGTACACGGTTAGGGACCAGTTAGTAGGGTGCCGTGCACAAGTCAGTTGGGACCCATTTTGCACGTGCGCACGTGCAGGGTGCCGCTTCCAGATCTCGAGAACGGCTGGGCCGATTGTGCTCAAATTTGGCACATCGCTAGAAACCGGTCAGTAGGGTGCCGTGCACAAGTCAGTTGGAGGTACTCCCTCGAAATTTCGCACGTGCAAGACTCACCCCCTCGCTCGCTCCGTTAGTCGCCCCAAAAGGCGCTATACTGGTAAATATGATATCGAGCTACATAGAAAGGAAAATTTTGACGTCTTCTTGTATTCAAGGATTGCCCTTAAAATGCTTGTATGTTCCTCTGTTCTGACGGGGTCGTATCCGGACGTAGCATTTTTTTGTCTGGTAGTGTCTGAAAAAGGCGTGATCTGATTGTCCGGCAGTGTGCGAATGGCTGTTATTGTATCCCGTACCTGACGGTGTCCTTGGTCCGTTCCGCGGCAGCACCTGACCAAAGATCTCAAGCCGCTGGCCAAAGCTGATCTGGAGATGGTGGAGTTCCACGACGACTCCGAGACGGTGGTGTTGAGAGTCGGCAAAAAGGAGTTCTTCCACTCCACACACCAAGACACATTTCTGCAGGACATATCGTGGGTGAGTACGGAGCTCAGTCCTCAGATCGCCCCAGTTGGGCAGCAGGGGTACCGCCCAGCTATCCATCATTAGCTTCAGCAGGCCATTCGCAACGACTTTTGATGGATTTCGGTTTGATCTGGCCCGAAACCTTTCAGCGTTTTTGCTCCAATGATTGTTCAATGTTCATCAAACTTCTGTTGAAAATATTTTCTTGGGAAGACTAAATTTGATATTTTGGAGACAAAGGCGCTTAGTATAATAAACAAATAATGGCGTGTGTAAGATCACACAGATACGCACTGTTCGTACAAGAACTTAACACGCGACACATTTTATCTAAGTCTGTTTGCCGTGTGCCCCAGCTATAGACGTAAGTTTGAGACTGTTGATCGCATGTTTTGCGTGTGATTGTTCGTGTGTGCGTGCTCGCGGGAGACGATAGTTAACTACCGTTTCGGCGTAGTGGGTGTATAACCCCTTGCCTCTGACTTTTTCCGCCTCCGCCTCTGCAGCTACTGAGTTTCGACCAGGAGTTGGATGAGTTCAGGGACCGCCTGCACGAGTTTCCCATCGAGTTTCCGCCGTCGTATCCGTTTGAGGAGAACGTGGACCGGTCCGAGTACCTGATGAAGACCCGCTGCCCGTCGTGGTGTGACCGCATCCTCATGAGCAAGTCGGCTCTCCAGGTCATACATCAGGTGCGTCTGGTCAACTGTTGGAGATTGATAGGGCGCTAATTACGGCAGCTACTCAGCGCTTTCAGTCGAGGTCGACTTATGTTGAGTTGCTGCCACTGTTTAGGAAAGATGAACCGGGAGGGCTGTGTTTGTTTGTTTATGGACACATCATCAACGGGCCGAACCCGAATATACTGATGAAGTCATGAGTTCCACTTGGTTGGTTAGTTTGGAGGATAGGTTGGTAGGAGTGTGATTGCACAATTGGTATCTACAATTCTGCGAATGTGAAGGTGCTCTATCTATGAAGTGTCGTAACTTACGAAAATCCGTCGGTCTTTTATAAACAGGTCTCTGTCTGTCTCCCTAAGTTCCATTGTACGAGTATTATCGTGTTCTGACTTCAGTACTATCCTCTTCCAGGACGGTCACGGCGACGTCACATATGGGATGGTGGGCCGGGAGCGCTGCATGGGCGACCACAAGGTGAGCCAGGCCGGCCAGACTGCAGCGCAGACTAGTCCAGTCACCGGCCTACCGCCCACTGGCGCCGAGCGGCGGCCGAGTCAAACAATCGAGCAGTACGATAAAAACACTGTTAAAATGAAATATGTACGGTCCGTCACCAAAGTTACACCGTTCCCCCTGCGTCTGACGGTTATGCGCCTCTCCTGCAGCCGGTTTTCCTGGCTCTGACTCTGAAGTAGCTGCCCAGGTAGGCCAGAAAGTGTCGTTGGTGCGCTCATGTTCAGTCCCCCTAGTGGCGTCTGTTTCTTTTGTCGACCATACCAGCTTTGTCCCCGTCTGTTGCTACTAGTCCCTCTCGCCAGCCTGCAGACACCTGCAGTGAGCCGCCGTCACACGGGTTTTTGTTCTCGTGTAGTGACGTAAGGCAGCTGGCAAGCTCTCCACCGCGGCGGCATCGTGTCGTTTTGTGGTTGTCGTCTTTTTTGTGTTGATGTGTTGTATGTTGATGTCGCTTTTATCTCGTCCGAGTGTCACTATTCAGCAATATCTATGCACGTCGCAGGAATATTTTGGTTCGAGCTGCATTTCGCCCAGTCGCCCTTCTAGTCCATAGCATTTTCAGTTCATTAACCAAACGTGCACTGGCATGGCCACCCGTTGTATGGATGCAGGTCAAATGCTTTTTTACACGGCCTCCTTTATCAGTGTTCCAGTGTTTCGTTTTAGAAACCGTTCTGCATGTGGAATGAACGTGCTTTAGTGGTTTATTGAACAATTTCTGTTTCGAGAGGTAACTTGAAGCATCTAGCAAAAGGTGACATTTTTAGAAACTACATCGTACTATTTGTTTTACAGCAAAGGCGATGGTAACCTTTCCGTATATGCATTTTATCAGGGTTCTTCGAGTTTTTCTTAGAGAACATCTTATGTCATCAGAGCAACGTTTGTAATTTTATAGATGAATAGGACACCTTTCGAAAAAATGAAGCATCTGGCATAATATACGTTCAATCCATCGGCAACATAGCAGACTCGAAGAATCTGGTTCCAGTTGCCAGTGTGGGACATTGTGTTTGTGGGGCACACTGTAAGGTTGTTTTGCGAACTTTTTCGAAATTATACGGGTGAGGCGATAGCCAGTGACAGTTCGAAATTCCCGGTTAGATATACGTTAGGTGGTTCTTTTATGCTTTTGACTTATACCGCGGTCCTTTATCATGTAAATGCTGCGCAAAAGAAACCTGCTGACAGTAACTGCAAACGGCGGCCATAAATTACTCGGTGCGGGGATATTATATCTGAGAAAAATCGCAGGCAAAAATGTGGGGATGTACGTCATGGAATTCTCCCTAGATAAAGCATTCAATTTATTTCTGCTAAAGATACTGTGTAAAAAAGGCTTGTTTTGTACAGATATGTTTTGATGTGTGTGTATGTTGTTGGAGCTTTTGGGTGGGTACTAGAGCACAGGTAGGCTATCAAGCGCTCTATGCTTTGATAGTGCATAGTTACTTAATTGCTCAGTACTCACAGACAGGTTGAATATGGACAAATGAAATGGCATGAATTGTGCAAATTTGCATCGGATTATTCGAACAACGCTAGACAAAACTTGAATCAAACTGAGGACAAACTGTTTTTTATTTTAGTACCTCTACCTATCCCCACCATCTCCGGATCAAGATCTGATCCAGGCAGTGATGCTTTTATGACAGCGGATACCGAATCTTCGGGACCGCTTTGTACCCACTGCCGTTTGACCAATGGAGTGGAGATGGAGGTCAATGCAGTTATGAAGCTTCCGTGCTCCGGCTCACCTAGCCTTCAAACCGATCGAATTATTTTCCATGGCAACGTCGTGCGATCGCTGTAGGTTTAAAGTATCGGTGAAAAAGGCACTGCTCGCCTCTGAGTCGGATTACCGTGTATTTCCCCTTGAGGTGCGTCTGATGCGAGCGACGTTGAATGCCTGTGACATCAGCCAGGTAATAATTGTCAATTATGTGTCGAGTCATGGATGCCACTGCCGCTAACTCGACATCACATTTTTGTATTGTTCTATTGTATTCGAGTTTGTGAGACTCATTGTGAGGAAAGTGAGCAAGTCGGCTCTGACGTCCTACTGAAGCGAATGGTCACTTAATCCATCTGAAGCGGATTATAATTCGCTGGGTCATCTATTTGATGGACCTTGACGTGCCGTGAACGGCTCAGTACCTGCATTCCCGCTTCCTTGTCCATAGAAGTCCCTGTGTTGAGTCTACCGAGCCAACTTGGCCAGCCATAGGGAGTTAATACGAGCATTTGCAGCAAATTTCGTTGTGTCTATCATCAGTAAAACGTTGGTGTATGCATAGCGTGTTGTCAATACTGACTCGTTGATTAACATTTATTTATTTTTTTTTCGTTTATTCTATAAAAATTAGACACCGTGAAACCAAATAGTTTTGTCTGCGCCCCGTGTTTCGGCCCTGCAGGGAGTGCCCTGGTAGGGTTCCGGTGAGTGTTCACCCGCCGCTGACCGCCGCTGTGTGCGCGCTCTGCCGGCAGCCGATCATGCTGCGGCTGCCGCTGCGCGCCGAGTGCCGGCCCGTGTGCTGCGCGCTGGGCCGGCCGTGCCCGCCGTACGGGCGCGCCGGCTCCCTGCCGCTGCGGCCGGGCCCGCCGGCGGCCGCCGGCCGGCGCCGCGTCAGTTCGCTGGGCGGTGAGCCGCCGCCGCTGCGGCACAAGCAGAGCCGGCTGCGGCTGGAGCTGTCGGCGCGGCTGCACTCGCACCACAGCTCCTCGGACGAGGACTGGTTCGAGGAGGTGGACGCCGAGGAGCCGCCCGAGCCCGAGACCAACGGACAGACGGCGCCCGCCGACACGGCCGTGTCCAACGGCGCGCCCGTCACCGACCTGCTGGAGCCAGTACAAATGGTGGCCCAGCGCGCCGCGCCGCGCCGCCGCCGGCCGCGCTGCCAGTGCGGCCTCGTCTAGGCGCTCTGGGTCCGCCGCTAGTCAGGGCGCGGCCCAATCAGCCGGCCCTCGCCACCGTTCGTCCTCTCTAAGTGTATACATGCACCGGCGCGTATTTATTTCAATTGTTTTTATCGGTTGCGCATCGTCGATTGTTGGTATGATGGTGTTATGAAAGTGTTTATTGAATCACTATGCGCCAGAGAAGGAGCGTTGGTAGTCTGGTACAAATAGACGCGCTCGGCACGGACGGGTGCCGATGGAGTTCGCCCGATAGAGTTGTGATGTTGATACGTTTGAATCTATTTTACAATTGACGTCTCGTAGAGCCAGGTGGCCGGCGCCGCCGTGCCGCCTGGCCGTCTCTGGGCCCATGTCATATGTCGACGATATCCGCGTCTATATAACTGTTATGTATTGGCGCGTGCGTTTACGTGTTCTAAGTGTCAGTGTGTGTGTTTGTGACCTAATATGTGTCACCACGTGTGTCTACGTCCAGTATGTGTTAGCATGGTGACCATGTGACCAAGGGAGTCCCTCTGGGTGACGCGGACCAGGCAACGCCCCGACCTCCCGGGCCCGGTCAGACCAGATTCTCCGCGGCCACGCGCCCATATTCCTGGATCCTTCAACCGGCGGCGTTTGGCCTAGCTTCTCTAACGGATGTCCGGATAGGGGCGACACCCTGACCATCAGCCATGCTTGTGTAGTTAATGTCTGTGCGGCAGAATAGTCCCACCGTCATCTGGCGTTCTCGTTATGTGTAGGCCGGGCACACCGTGCAGAAACCCAACAGTCGTGCAAGCACCGATATTAGCACCGTAGGATGCCACTACCAGAACCCTGCCATACGATTTTTTTTTTTTTAGTAGCAATCGTCTCAGTACAATGTTGTGTAGTTGTACCCATGTGAGCATGTCTTGTCAGACGTGTGTTTCTAGATGTACGCTGACTTGTCATGATGTGTAATACCAGTCCTAACTGTATCTGCTTTAGCGAGCCTCCTGAAAACTGTACTAGCTTAACGCTAGAGCTGGGTGTTAACGAGTCACCATAATACAGCTCTCAGAACGAAATACGTTCGATATATTCCTAAAAGTAAAGGCATCAAACTCAAAGCTTCATTGCTCCTGCGCACTGCTGCCCGCAATGTTTTAAGCTTGCTAAACAGCGTTGAGTCCAAGTGAGGAGTGAAGCGTACGCTTGTTGTCGCGAAAATACTATTTATTATGAATCTTCGGTATAAATGTTGTAGCACTCGCCATCTCAGCGAAGCGCCTAACAGTCTGATATACGGCCTCCACGCGGACGGGAAGTCGCTGCTTTGGTTGTTGGCGCGCGGTGTAGTCGTTTGCTGTGGACAGGCCAGCAATGCTGTGGGTCCGGTGGTGCTGCTCGCGAACTCTTCCGGTTATGTTGTCAGTGACCGTTTGGTTTGTGGTATATACAGATGCGACGTGCCATAAACGCTTCTTTTCTCCATTGTAGTGAAATACGCCGTGATACGCTTCTTAATATTTTTATGGCATTTATTCCTATAAATCGCCAACACCGAAGGAACTAGCCTGCCGGTGGTAATCCAATCCAGTCTCACGCCGAACACATACGGCTCAGCTCAGAACCAAAATCGATAGACGGTGACAATTGATTCGCGACGAGTGCGTCGGTACCATCTTCAATTTGAAGCTCAAGCCACAGAGATTGTGACGAGCTCGAACACCGAGTAGGTACAAATAATCACAGCAAACACGAAGCACACACTCAACAGGTAATGCAACGTGATGCACATCGTTTATCGGAGACTTCAACTCCGACTCGTTGAGTAACCTCACCGGCTTCAATAAGGTATCACTAAAGTTCGTAGGTAAGACCGGGTTATAAGAGTCATCTCGGGGCAAACGGGGTCACCCCGGGCTACAGGGGCTATTCTTAGTCTCATGGGGGTCAGCACAGAGCTGTGGGTCAATCCAGGTCACAATGGGTCAGTCCAGAACATCTAAAATCTTTCCAGGTCGCATGTCAGTCCAGGTTACATGGGGTCAATCCAGGTCACAATGGGTCATTCCAGGTCGCCAGTTTTTTGTTGCACTTTTCATATTACCACGGAAATATGATATTACGAATGGAACATGAACATTTTTCCTGTAGCGATCGGTCACGGAGGCTTTGGAAGCTGACTGTTTTGGACCTTTTTATAGGATAAAAATAACGACAGGCGGTATTTTCGATGCCACTTTGCAGTTAGTTGGTTTGGGGAGAATTCGGCTCCCCACACGGCGGTCCCAGGTGGGCGGATGGTGGGCGGGCGCGGGGCTGGTCCCGGACGGAACTGGGAAACTTGCCTTCAGACGGACGGACGGACGGACGGACGAACCGATCAAAGTGACCGATCATGTCTGTGTCTCCGTCACCGTGGGGAATCCCGCTGCCGCCCCCGCCTCCCTCCGGCTCTGTGTCTCAGCGGCTACCGACGTCCGGTCACCGTCAGGGCTGCCCGTCCGCCTGCCTTACGGCCGGACCGAGCGGCCGTCACACGACTGCGAGATTCCTGGCTAATTGCCAATTTCCTCTGCTCTGCAGATAAGACCCCACAGCTGGGAGGGTGGTGAATCACGACGCCATTCAGGTGAAGCGTCTTACTCAGTGCAGGTGACACGACCGCGCCGCGTACCGCCTTCCGTTTTTATTTCCCGGGCGAGTCGGAGCGTCTGATGTTTTGCCGGACGCTCGGCCCCCTGTGTTGGCCGGTTTATCACCTGGACAGGTAGCTGTGACACCCGGCGCTGGCGCTCTCCGAGGTGCCACCGCCGCCGAGCCGGTTGACCGTTCGCCGACCTTCGCCGCGCGGCGCGGCGGCTGGAAACCCCGCGTGAGCCGCACCGCGCGCCGCCCGTCCGGCGGCCGGCTCGTCATTCCTGTGACGAGCCCCGCCGCCGCTGCCGCTGCCGCTGCGCGTCCCACAGCCGCCACTACCTGTCCTCGGCATGGTGAGTGTCCGGTGTTGGCCGGCCCGGTACCGGCTCGAGGAGTAGGACGGTCAGCTGCCCTCTGCCCTGACCGGCCGATGCCACTCGCCGGTATCCGCGGGGTTGATGCCATATGTTGTGCAATGTACCTAATTTGTACAGGTTTGACAGCTCAAAGACCGGTTACATGAAGTGGACGTCAATGCGCGCTCAGATAAGGACTGTTTTGATAATTGATAATGTATGCAATCAGTGCCAGGAATAGGCGTCTTCCACAGACCAGGGACTTCCCATTAGGCGAGAAGGGTGCTTTCTCTCAAGCGACTAGGGCAAGCAGGATGATGCATGTCAGCTCTTGTGAAAGATAAATATATAATAAGCCTTGTATGATTTTATGCTGCTTATCTGTTGTCTTAGCGATGCGTTGCCTATTACGCTGTCTGGAACAAAGGTGTTGTGCGCGCTAGCACCAACTTTTTGTCTCGGGGAGGGGTACAATGAGACAGGTCTGGGGTTGCTATCGCCCGTCGGCAGCCGGTGTAGGTGAATGAGGGAAATATGAAGGGGAGTGGCGTGTTAAATCGTCCCGGCCTGACCCTCGTATCTGCCCTCCACCGTCGACAGGGTTGGCACCGTGGTGACTGTTGCCGACCGGCGATGCTGTCGTCACTGCTGCTTCTTTGGTGCGCTGTCGCTCTAGGTCAAGGTAAGACGGAGGGACAGGGTGCCTTGTGCCTAGTGCCTACTGCCTAACATGACGATATTTTGCCTAGAGATGCGCACATTTCCTCCGAGCATGCAGATGCACTGCAAGAGACTCTTGGAGGTTGAAATGTTGTATTTTATGTAAGAATGAACTATGAAATACAATAAGGTCAACGCCTTCTCTCGATCTTCAACATCATGTGTTCTTCCGTGTCCCTTATCCATGTCCGATTCCGATGTCATCCACCTCAGAGCCTGCTTTTAATCCCTTGTAGATAGTTATTTTCTCTCAATGACCGTTTGCTCCTGGACGTGCTCCGGCAGATATCGTGTTCCAGCAGCCGACGGCGTTCGGCAGCCGGCCCGTGTTCAGCGACCCGACGGTGGACGCCGCGCTCCAGCTGCCGCTCGATGTGGGCGGCAGTGGGGCCGAGCTGCTCCGCTTCGGAGGCAGCTTCGACTGCCGCACGCCTGACGGCCAGCTGGGTCGCTGCGGCCCGCTCCTCAGCTGCGACCATATGCGCAAGGCTCTGCTGCCACTGACCACAGCCCGGCTGCGGTTTCTCAAGAAGTCCATCTGCCGTTTTGTGGGCGGTCGGCCGCTGATCTGTTGCCCGGAGAGGCCGCCTCAGCTGACACCGACCACCTCCGCGCCGCTGTTCTTCGAGGTCTCGAGACGGCCGCCAGAACCGACACCATCACCACCCACACCACCGCCGCCATCGCCATCAGCATCCGCAGGCCTCAGCCCTGTATCGAGTACCGAGGTCGCATCGCCTCCTGCAGCACAAGGGACAACAGTGCCAGAGGCGCCGGATGTCGAGATGGCTAAATCCGAAGTGACTGGAGTAGAGACGGCGCCTGTTGCCTCGACTCCTGAGGCGTCTAGTGTCGAGACGACGCCAGAGGTGTCTGTTGTCGAGACGACGACACCCGATGTCGCTAGTGCTGAGACATCAGAGGTGACTGGAGTCGAGACAACGGCAGAAGAAACTAAAGCAGAGATGACAGCGCCAGAGACGACTAGTGTTGAACCGGCACCAGAAGTGCCCAGTGAGGAGACGATACCAGAAGTGACTGTTGTCGAGACGATAACAGAAGCGAGTGAGGCTGTTGTTGAAACAGCGCCAGAGGCGTCTAGTGTGGAGACAACACCAGAGGCGACTGGTGTCGATACGGCGGCGACACCGGAGGCTGTGCCGACCGACGGACCATCAACCATTCCGCCCCCGGGCCTGGACGTCTGTGGCCACAAGCTGGTGGAACGCATCACAGGTGGCCAGGAGTCGCAGCCCAGTGAGTGGCGGATTACTAGACCTGTGGTCTGATGAGCATGCGATTGCGCATTCCCGGGTTATGTAATGTGATGTTTTTGTGCATGGGATTATGGGGGGGGGGGGGATAATTTTTGTTTCGAAGCAGGTTGTGACTTCACATGATTTACCTGCAATGTGGTCCCCGGTGCTTTCAAGCCCTTGATATGGGATAAGTCTGCACTCTGCTGCGCGGCCATGTTTTGGTGTCGGCTCAGGGATGATGACTGAAGTGTGTCCTGCTGTTTCAGACTCGTGGCCGTGGCTGGCGGCGCTCGGCTACCAGCTGGAGCGGAGGAAGATCGACTTTCTGTGCGGCGGTGTGCTCATCACCGAGTGGCACATCCTCACCGCCGCCCACTGCGTCAAGGAGCAGCTGTAAGTCATACACCGCAGGCGAGACACAAGGCTCACTGTAACGACTTAGGACGGTGGGGTCCTCTTTAACTGGGCATTCCCAAACACAAACAGCTGCATTACCCCGACTGGCCGTCCCATTTCCAGTGAAACACGAAACAAGTGAGGTGTTTTCGAACAAACAAAAATAAAGACCAATTGCAAGTTTCCACATTCAAACGTCAGCCCTCAGGAGTCCGCATATGGTTGAAACTGGTTATCCCCAAAATTCCCGTATCGTGGCAGTCACGTTACTTTCACTACTATACCGTGGATTTACGTATCAAGTAGCTTCCATTTGTACTCTATAACCTTTTTAACGTCTTCAACGGGCATTGGCTTGTTCGGTAGCTCAGTTGGTGGAACATGCGACTCTCGGTGGCAAATCTCGGCTTTGAGTCGTTTCTGTATCCGATATGACTCGCGTCAGCGCCGGTTTGTGGTTGGTTGTAAGGGGCAGAGCTGCTGCCGGCTGAAGTCCGTGGGTGGGACGGGCCGTGCCGGCTATGCGGTCACGCTAAGCCCTAGCTCCCGACTACCCGGAATTTCCCGATCGGACAGAAGGGGTCAAGGCCTGAGCAGCAAGCTCGAATTGGAGGTAGCTCTGGCTTTTGTTTTCTTCGACCTGTCGACTGAAAGCTTTAGCAATATCACTACATTCGTTCACTTACACCAATGATGCCCGTTATATACTCGTGGCTCGTATGACATAAAGAACTCACCGTGCTCGTTGACCCATCAGGAAGGTGATTCGTCTGGGCGACCATGACCTCTTCAACGACACGGAGGTGGACACGGTCACGGAGCACGGCATCGCCGAGATGATGCCTCACGAGGAGTACAACAACCGCACCCTGTTCAACGACATCGCCATCGTCAAACTGCGCACCAAGGTCGACATCACTGGTGAGCGAATAAAGCTCGTAAGATGTTTCAGCTAGATGAGCGAGCTCTACAAAAATGCGGTGGATGTTCTTCTCCTTTGTATCCCTTAGCCAACCGGTAAATGTTTTATTCAACTGACCAGTGTGTTCAAATCATTTTGATATTTCACGCACGATACTGACGAATACTGTTTTTGCAGGAACCGTTCATCCGATTTGTCTTCCGCTTTTACCGGAGATGCGAAATCTCGAGTTGGTCAGACAGATTACCTTCATTGCTGGATGGGGCACCACATCATTCAGTAAGTTAATAGTTTCTGTTGTCGGTGTCGGCTTGAATATCATTATCGTATAATAAGTGTGAACTTGCGAACGGAAGGTGTAACGTCTTACCGTACTCCCCAAACGCATTGACTACACCGCTAATTAGTGCGGTAGTAAATGCATCCCCACTCGATAAACCCACAGCGTCGGCCGGAGTCAATAAAGTCGTCTCGTATTACAGAGGGTGAGGCGAGCCCCGTGCTGCGGGAGGCGCGGGTGCGCGTCCACCGTCAGCAGCTCTGCAAACAGCGCTACCGGGCGCTGCGCCACCGGCTGGCCGACTCGCAGATCTGCGCATCGGCACGAGAGGGCGGAGAGAACCAGGATACGTGCCAGGTGAGCGCCGTATAACGTTTGCGTGACGTAAGGGGATTTAAAATCAAGGGGTTGGTAAGGTTGACAACGCCTTACATCCAAGTGCGATTGCACAATGCACAGCACATGCCACTATCCAGCAGCGATGCGACATCTATCGCCGAAACCTAACCAAGTGACCTCCGACTCCGACGTCTACGATTCCCCGCTGGTGGCGCTGGCGTGGCTGCATACGGTTGTCCGTAATCCATTGAACTCAATGGATCTGGAAAACTGTTCGGCTGAAAATCAAAAAGGCATCTTGGACTACCTAACCGTAGAAGGCCGGAAAAGTTCGTCTTTGTCAAGAATGTAGACTTGAAGTGTAAAAAGTGATAAAAGTTTCCCAATAAGTCTACCACTGTAGCCGTCAAAGTATGAGCCGTACAATCGAGCACACTAACCAGACATCGTCACCGTTCCATGCTTCTATCCTCAGGATACTGAAATCCTTCTCCTCCACGCCGCAACCCCCTTCCGGGCTGGACAGGCAACTTTATCTCATGCGGGCTGCTCCCTTGGAGCGGCACCGCTGCTCCCGAGGAAGCGCACCCTGTAGCCGGGTGCAGTGAGTGCCTTGGGGCTGGGTGGCCTGTCCTCTGGACGGGCTCAGCCCCGGCGACTCACTAGGGTGCCTGCCCAGACCAATGTCTCCCCCTATATCCTATCATCCTCCCGGCTCTGAAATGGGCTATTTGGACCGAAAGGGCCTAACCTAACAAAAACAAAAAACAAAACAGACATCGAGCATCAACCACTCTGGTTACTTGAGAGGCAGCTGACAGGGTGACCGTTCCGTGCGACAGGGTGACAGCGGCGGCCCGATGATGATGCCCGGCGTCCTCACGCCCAACTGGTACGTCATGGGCGTTGTGTCGTTCGGGTTCCGCTGCGGCGAGCCGCGCTTCCCGGGCGTCTACACACGCGTCACAGACTACCTGGACTGGATCGTGGACCACCTGAGGTAGGGGGCGATTTCCGACCGTCTCTCAGACTCCACCGACTTCATATAGTCCCCGAACGCCGAGACGCCACCGTCTTCAGACAGTTACCGATCGCAGAGACACAAGTGGAGTTGCTCTGGCCTCCGCCAAAAAAAATCAGAGCATCTACAGAAGATGGGTACTGGCTCAATGATCAAAGCCAAAAGACAGCTAAAGACAACGCGGCAGCTAAGTGTCATAACATTCGCTCTCAGTGTTTCACGAAATGTCTTCCGCAGGGGATGTAATGTGAAGATGTTTTCCGTATGTGTGTGAAATGTGAAGTCCATAGACGGTGCAGTCAATTGCGCAGGAAAACCCGTGAATATAACTGTTTGAGGTTTTTGACGAAGTATGCGAGGGCATTTATTTTAATACCTATTTATTGATCATTGTAACTGTTATCAACTATACGATCTGCAACCGATGGAAAGAACGTTCGAATTGTGGTACCAGCGTCTTGATTCACCTAGTGTCAAGCTCGGGCCGTCGCTTCGCCTTTGGTCCTCGAATAGCGAAACCGTGGAAGAGCCTCCGGCATAGAAAATGAAGCAGCGCAAAAGTAGGTTAGCAATAACGATCGCGAGTGCCAACGCTATGAACGTTTGTATGAACGTGGCAGCCCCACATTAGAGCCAATAAAGTCATTATTTTTGTATATTTTCATTTGACGGCGACTGTTTTCGAGATAGGTAGTACTGCAGGAAAAATGGACACGGAGAACGGGAGAAAATAAAAATGTTCATAGTAAACCAGTCCAATACAAAAGCAAATGATGCATCAGCATGTGTCAGCTAGTATGAAGGACCGACTGCGCAGATCACGACCTTCTTCGCACTAACATCGGGGATTACAAACCCTGACATTTGTGAATCACTCTTCTCGTGCGAACTGAGCGCTGCCCATTTCCCGGCAGCGGAGCAGCAGCTCTGGTCAGTGTGTGACAGGAGCGGCGGCCGGGCCGGGCTCTGGGCCGCCCGGACCGTCTGTAATGTGTATGCTCTCAGACGGTAATTCCGGCTGGTGGGCGCCGCTCGCGCTGCGGCGTGACGTCAGCCGCGACGCGCTGTGTTTATTGCCGGGACGGCCGGCGCGGCTGTCCTGCGGCTGACCGACGCCAGTGGCCGACCCACAGCGAGCAGACAGACGGACTCGGTAGCCGGCACCGCCGACGGCAGTGATACGGAGCCTCTGAACGGCGGCAGCGTCCGCGTGGTGCTAGCCGTGACTTCTGCAGCGGCAGCAGACTCTTCTTTCAGCAGAGTCTGTCTTTGGAAACCTCTGATCGTGAAGCGCGGCGCTGAAGAAGTACGAACTCATCTACCAAGGACCCGTCAAACGCCCGGCACAAGGTAGGTTGACAGTGGATGGCAGTGGCAGTAGGCTGGCCCGTCTTTTGTAGAAAGCACATCGAGCTATATGGGGGCCGGTTGATCGGACATGGTAACGTTTGAATGTTTTATCTCAGCAGCCGTAGGCCTGATTGTCTGGAGGTCTACCTACAGTCAAGTAGCCCCTTCTCAGGTCAGCCTTCTGTCGACTGATGTATCTGGATGACGAGCAGGGTGTCAAAATTATTTCGCTTACAATATGAATAACTTCGCAATGAGTGCGTTTGAAGGAATCCCGCGCAACTTCGCTTGGATCTCAGTCCGCACGGGCGCAGAGTGCAAGCACTGCTCATTGTAGCGCCAGTTCGTAGGTCTCCTACAAGCCAAAAGGCGTCTAGCTAATGATTTAGCCCGGCCCATAAACTGGCCGAAGTGGCAACCCGTTCGGCTGGGTAAGATGATTATGTATCCGAGTTTTTATTCTTGATTCATCACTAAATGGAAATGTCTGCAATTGACGTCAAGGTTTTCACACGCGACACCGTGGTTGTTAGTGTGCATATAAACAAACCGTTCGGCTAGCCGCGTATAACCGAAGCGACTTGTTTATCCTTCAAATGTCACTGAACCGATATGGGAAGAAATTTTTGTATCGTGCCGTTCAACGACGGAACCAAGTCAAGCATCCTGCAGCTGCCCACCTAGAGAAATCTGCACCTTGGGGAGAGGGACGGGGAGCAAGCTATTTCGGCCTGAAAAGGCCGTTGCAGAGCTATGGAATGATGCTTGATAGGGTGTCGACATTGGACTGAGCGGACCACCGACGGTGCGCCGCACCGGCAGAGACCGCTGCGGCGCGGTGGGACGGGAATATCCCGATGGGACAGCCCGCCCTGCCGCTCACAAGGTCATACCGGAGAGGATGTCGTTCAATAAGGACTTGTCAATGTCGGATGTCCTCACCAACGGTTCTCTGGAAGGGGTTCTCTGGAAGAAGCTAGTCGGGAAAGGGAAGTGTGAGGGGATGCCGATGGGTTTGTTCTGAGGAAGGGAAGGACGGATGACCTGTGTTTGTGCTAGTCTGTGCTGTCGGTGCCCTGACCTGACCCCCTCGGTCGCTCTGTGACCTCAGATGCAGCTGCTGTGCGCGGCAGTGCTCGCGCTGCTCGTCTTCAGTCCGTCAGTCACGTGTCAAGGTCAGTATGTTTGCCTTCCGTAGAGGTAGGCATTAGTGCTTTGTACTTAGGCTCTGCTGCATGAAGTGTCTGCTCATCAGAGTCCAAAGAGGGCAAAGGGCGGGCAAAACGAAAGAGGAACTATTCGGTTTCAATCTCCGTGTTCAAGACGCGTGCTGATGATTCTGATCACTTAGCGGGGCCGGCGGTAGATGGGCGTCCAGAAACGTGTGACGGCATGGTGTCGCATGCGCTATAGCATCTCAAAAGTGTCGCCTATGTCTATAGTTTCATCTAATAGCTCTCTGCGGGGATACGCTGCACCAGGAGCTGCACGGAATCTGGTATATGTTCGTAAACAACAGACAGAAGCTGAACGACAGTAACCACCTTCCCAAACGCCAGCATTCCACCGTCTGGCTATGAGACTTGCAATACGCATATACTGTTAGTTCAAATAAATCAAGCAAGAAGATCAAAGATGTCCTATGATTTAGACGGCAACGGCCACCGACACACTTTTATCTTGAGTTAACCACACCCGTTTGTGTTTCAGGCTTCTATTTCCCTGATGAGGAGGTAACACCTGCGTCGCCACGGCCGTCGCCCACCAGCATTGTGGAGAAGGAGCCGGCGGGCGTGCCGCTGTCGTCGGAGGGCGCTCCGCCGGAGCCCGGCGCTGTGAACGAGTCGTCGCCGACAGACGGAGTGGCCGTGGGCCCGCGCCGTATCAGCGGCGTGAGGCAGCGGCCGCGCATCACCGTCCTGCCGCCGGTGACGCCGGAGCGGCAGCAGCACCACGTCATCGCGCCATCAGAGAAAGACGAGGACGACATCATGGGCGGCTTCTACTTCCCCGAGGACGAGATTGAGGACGGCGAGCAGTACGGCGAGGACGAGCTGGAGCTCACCGGCCGCAGCTCCGACAACTTCCGGTGCCTGTTCCCGCCGCGGAAACTCGCCGGCACCTGTGTCATAATGAACCACTGCCCGCCGCTGAAACGGCTGACCAGCCGACTCACACGCAGAGTGCTGTACCTACTCAACTCCATCAAATGCAGGAATGTCAACTCGAACATACCGATGTATTGCTGTCCGAATAACCTCATACGGAGACCAGTCCGACCTGCTGTTGTAGAAGAAAGTACGACGGTTTCCAGCACCACTACTACCACAACCACGACAACTACAACAGAGCGTACTACACCGAGTACTTCACCATCGACCGTCCCACCCCCGCCACCCACCATCCCACCGTCACCGTCGACCGCCCCACCCCCACCGTCAACCGCCCCACCCCCACCGTCCACCGCCCCACCCACACCGTCCACCGCACCGGCCGCCAAACCCTTCGCTGCCAAACCCACCCCAGTCGCCACGGCGCCCACCCCCACGACACCCGACACCACCCCTGCGCCCGTCGCGACGGAACCCCCCACCGAGCCATCGACGGAGCCCGCCCCTACCCAGTCCAGCAGCAAACGTCCGTCGAGGACCAAGAAGGACTTCACCTCGGAGGGCGATCCCGACTCTGACTACTCCGACTCGGACTCGGACGCAGAGGAGGTCGGCCAGGAGGCGGAGACGACCGCGTCCACTGACGCTGCGGTGGACGGTGGTACGTCCCCGGCCGGTGACACGGACATTGTGCCGACCACCGAGGAGCCAGCGCAGGCGACCGGCTACATCCTGCCGCGGCCGCCCCGCTGCGGCTACCGCAACGTCACCGGCGTCCGCATTGTCGGCGGCGTGGAGTCGGAAGTCGGTGAGTAGTTTACCATAAGCTCAACGGTATTTAATGTGGCGAGATTCTCATGACATGACATGACATTTGTCTGCTGGCCGTCTGAAGTGCCATCTTAATACTTCATGCACATACAATTCAGATAGTTTCCATAGAATTAATGTAAGTTCATACTCAACGTTATTTTTAAACTTCGATAGTATTCTTAATTTCTTGTAGTATTGAGCAAAATGGTGTGGCAGTGGGCAGTGGCCTTTGGCCACTATTCGTGAGACAAAAAAGCTGTGCTGAGCTCAACGTCCTTGGGAAACGGTGTCACACATCCGACTGAGAGTGACCGCGATGATTACAGCCGAGTGGCCGTGGATGGCCGCCCTGGGCTACGACTCGCATGACGGCGACATCAACTTCCACTGCGGCGGCGCGCTCATCACCAACAAGCACGTGCTGACGGCGGCCCACTGCGTCCAGGGCAAGGAGGACAGCCTGTGAGTACGGGCTGCATGCCAGGCCGGCGGCCCGACCACCGACGGACGTTCCAAGGCTGGACAGACCGTTGAATTGCCTCTCCATTCAGGGCCCACTTGCATAACTGATTACTGATTACTGATGAATGATTAGGTACGGATGTATGGACTGAAGAGGGCGCGATCTTCGGTGTCGGTAGTATCCAGTCGCCCGACCCGAAGGAAAGTGAGGCAAACGTAAATGACAACGTTTTTGTTCATGCTTTCGCCGAAAGTGCACCACAATTGACAATTAGACGATCACCGGCCAGGCATTACACTACCACATTAGCTTTGTGTTTCCTGTATTTGGATCACCACTTGTCTATGTATCCAATGAGTCATGACTGTCTGACGATGTCTGCCGCAGAAACTGGGCCCGTATCGGCGACCACGATCTGACCAACGACACAGACGTCGACACGGCCATCAACTACGGCATCAAGGAGCACCGGATCCACGAGGAGTACAACAACCGCACGTTCGCCAACGACATCGCCATCCTGGTGCTGCGAGAGCCAGTGGAGTTCAACTGTAAGTTTACCTGCAGCCGGTGGAGTTCAAGTGTGCGTGTAGAGTTGAATTGAGTTTATATCCAAGAGAGTTTATAGCCGTTAGAGTTGTTCTGTGAGTTTGGAGCAGATCGAGGTATCAGTTCAACTGCGAGTTTAGAGTCGGTGGAGTTGTTTAACTATGACTAGAACCGGTAGATATTTCAGCTGAACTGTGGTTTTATTATTATAACTGGTAGAGTTTGACTCGGTTTTGGGCCTAAAGTTAAATTGAGTTTACCGGGTTAAATCCAACTGAGTTTACTGCCGGGGAGTTCAACTGTGAGTTCGCTTGATGGCTCTTTGGTATCGATGAAGATTCTCAAACCAAACCTGTATCGTTACAGATGCAAGGCATACAGTTTGTCTGCCGTTTGAAGACGAAGTCAGGACCATGGTGTTTGACGCTAAGAAGCCCTTCATTGCCGGATGGGGCGCTACCAGCTACAGTAAGTACCCGCTTCAGTGAACGCTGCTAATTATCTTCAGTTAAAGTTCATATTTAAATCCCTCAATTATTCTAATGACATTATACTCATAAGTCATAGCTGAATAAATCAGCTTTCAAAAAGATACGCTCAACGTTCAAACATATATCATGTGTCTTTGGTAAAACGATGGAACAATAAAAAAGTCACACAATCAAAGCGGGCTCTATGGGATACCCGATGACACGCACAAGCTGTTTAGCACAGACACCGACGCGATATTTCAATATATTACCATTAATTGTGTACGCCTTTTCTTCAGGGGGCTCCGCTAGCGCCAAACTGCTGCACACCCAGGTGCGTGTTATGAGGAAAAAGGCCTGCTCACGGCGCTACACGCGCTTCAGGCAGATCACCATTACCGACAAGGTGCTCTGCGCCAGGAGCCCCGGGAAAGACTCGTGCCAGGTAAGATAAACACTGGGTCCGTCCGCATGCCGCCTTCTTGTGCGCTGCTTACAATTCTTTGCTTCTCTCCTACACTGATATTCTGTTTTCATTCTGCTCTTCAGTTTCTTTTGAATCACTAGACACTACCACTCATATGCCGTTAGTGCTTTGGTTTTGCACCAAATATTTCGCCCCATGGAACCTCGAAGTTGCTTTTGTTATGGGATGCATCATTTGAATCACTTTGTTTGCACGCATTCTGTTCGACAGGGCGACAGCGGCGGTCCGATGATGTTCCCGTCGCCGTCGGGACCGTACTTCTACACGATCGGTGTGGTGTCGTTCGGGTACAAATGTGCCGACGCCAGAGTGCCCGGAGTGTACACAAGAGTCAGCGAATACCTCGACTGGATCACCAGCCATCTGCACGACACCGACTGAAGAGCGCCGCGGCTCGGCTTCCCCAAGATTCGGTCTCCGCTCGAAACTCGCCGTGTTGCTTCAACCCTCGCCACAAGTGTGAGGTTGCCTTCGTCGAGAAAGGTCTGTTTTGGACGCTGATTTGTGATTTCGAGTGTGATTTGTGTCGTGATCGGCGATGTGCCTTGAGATGTGTTCACTTAAAGCGACACGATGGGTTAGGCTTCGTTCGTCCGTGCCTAACATGTGGTATGTCGTGTTCATGTCAGAGACTTTGCAAATTTTGTTATGGGATGCATCATCCGGGGAAAAACTGAATATGAACTATGATATTGTTTCGTGGAGCGGAAATACACGAAAAGAAAAGCCGAAACACTGGTCACCCGCAATGTAAGTACTACTTCCCCTCACCAGTTGCTGTGATGTCCAGCGTTGAGGTTCCCCGGTTAGCTATAAGCTACTATGTGCTGACATCGTAATTCATGCTCTGATGACATGAAGGGGCATAAAACACGACGCATTCGCTTTAAACGTCTTATATTGTGTCTCTGAGGTCATGTGATTAGAGGATGCTCCTGCCCATACCTAACGGTGTAATACTCGAGTGCAAAGGCACAACCGCCCAGACAGCAGTTTTTGAGCGACATACATCTGAGCTGCCGCCTACCTCAATCAGAATGAGGTAGGGCATAAAAAAATCAGCGTGGTACCTATTTGTCTTTGGAATTAATTTGTAACGTAATCGTGTACAAGTTGTCACTATTGTTTCATTAGGCCTCGCTTTCATCTTCAATATCTCAGCGTAATAACAATTGCTCTTTGGCTTGGTATCTTGTTCCAGTAGAAAAACCTATACCCAGTTGTTACAATAAGCACCATGAACGAAGTAACGTCATTATCAAAACGATGACTGTGGCGCCCCGGGAGAAGAGGCCCGGGATAGACTAGAGCGCGGCTTCAGAGTTCGTCTACTAAGGGATCGATAGAATTACAGTAGAGTCGCGAATGACATGACTATTCATATCGACAGATTAAGACTAGAAGAGTGAGCGGTTCTAGCACCTTCGATGATTCACTTGCAACCACTGTAAACAGCGGTAATAGAGATTGTACAGATCATACGGGACATAGTGGCCAATGCCAGCCACGTGATCCCCAACGTGTGTTACATCAGGATGGCATTCGAAGGCCACCCGAACAGCAGCACATTCAAACGAGTGCAGAAAACTGTGTCCACTGGCACCATACCGGTCTGGGCGTGAGGCACGGGACAGCGATCCGCAGGTCAGAGGCGAGGCGGGCCGGCCGGCCGGCTCACAGGATGGGCTCGTAGCCGTTCCAGCTGACCTTAGCAGCCGGCCAGCGGGTGCGCAGGCAGTGCTCCAGCGGGGGCACCAGCTCACCGGGCCGCACTGCCGGCAGCTCGGCCGACGGGTCACCGCCGTACTCTGGAAAACATCAGCGGGTCAGTAACAGCAAAACAGCCGCCACCACGGGTGATACTGCCACGTCATTTCGTAATGTAGAACATTTATGATTATGTCGACAGCAATCATGTAAAAACGGGGGTGTATTCCGCCATGATGCGACGTAAGAGCAGAGTAAAGGGTAAAAAAGAAAGCATTTTAGAGCTGATTGTTGTCGAAAATCGCTTTCGACGCATAAGGTGCTTCGAGCGATTTAGTATCCTTTTTGGGAAATAGGGTTGAAACGCCAAATGCAGCGTGTTTATTCGGCAGCCCACTGACCTACGGTGAGCCGAATCTCGTCGTCCTGCCTGGCCAGCATGTCGTAGTAGAACAGGTCGAACCGGCCGGCCTCGGGCGGCTGCTGACACAGCCGTCGGTCGCCGGAGAAAAGGCACGTAAAGTGGGACTCGCTGAGTATCACCCAGATCGGCAGCTGCGGCGACTTCAGGTGGGAGCCCACCTGCCGTCAAAGGCGGAACAGGTCAGGTAAATGGTGAATGTACTTGGATACTGGATATCACATTCACCTTCAAAGGCACCAAAATTCAACTACAAAGACTGAACGAAGCGACATACAAAACTGAGACTAAATCAAATGTCCATGTCTATTGAAAATCAATGTTACAAGGACACAGAAGCGAAAATGAAGCGTGGCGGTTCGTGAGGGATTATGCAAAATGTCCAGTCGTTGCGTGAGAATCTTACAGCACCTACTTAACATTGCAGTGATGTCACGGTCACATGGGTTACCACTTACCGCGCTAACACACAATCCTTGATAAACATTGCATACCACACGCTCACACCGCGACCCGCACCTCGCAGGACTTGTAGTGCTCGAAGAGCGAGAGGAGGCCGATCTCGCTGCGCTGGTCGACGCCGCGCAGGACGGTGACGTCGGCACCCTCGCCGAGCCGGACGGTGCCGTCGAACACGTTGGACGAGGCGGTGCCGGTGAGCAGCAGGTTCACCAGCTCCTGGGTGCAGTAGCCGTGCCGACCGATCACCGTATTGGTGGCCACGTCCATGTCCCGTTTAACGCTGCGGCATCAGTCACGGCCGGATAAGTCATACTCGGCCTCGGTTACAGAGCATGGTTCAGTCACGGTCAATCTCTGCCACAGCTCAGGCTATATTATTAGTATTATTATTGTTTATTCAGCATCGCCATGCGGCATACAGATACATATCTCCCCCCCCACAAACACACACACAGTTAATTAGCAATCAGGAGGTCAGTAGTCTTAACAATATATCACGGCCAACAGTTACAGTTAGGCCCAGTTACATTCAGTCTAAATCACAGCTGGCTCAATCAGTATCGGCCACACGCAACGGCGGCTCAGCCTCATACAAGCTCGATTACAGGAGGCGGCATCCGACGTTCATATTCCTTCCTATCGAACTTAGAAATATCGATATCCCAAGTTCACGTTATCGAACTCTGCGAATACGATAAACGGTGAGCCGTCGCCCGTGAGACCGTCTCACCTGTCGATGCCGCGTGAGAGCAGACCGTCTCACCTGTCGATGCCGCGTGAGAGCAGACCGTCTCACCTGTCGATGCCGCGTGAGAGCACGGCTGAGTAGGTGAGCAGCACACAGCCGGCGTCGGCGGCGAACTGGCGCCGCTGGTCGCGCACGTAGGCCAGCAGCGGCGCCACGGCCGATACTCGGTGCAGCTGCAGCGTCTCCGTGATACCGTCCGCCCGGTACCGGCCGCCGCCCGGGAACTGACTCCGACCCGACGACCTGACGGCCGGCACCGTCACCGTCAGCGGACGCGGCACGGTGGGCGATTTGCCGTTGCTTATTCTCATCTCGCTTCTGTAGAACTCAGACGGCTGTATTTTTATTGTTTCTTATTGACATTGACAGTGAGCTAATAAAGTGCGATCACCTGTCGACGTTTAATGTATGAATTTACTTTTAAGACGTGATAAAAGATACCCACGATGTGGAAGTTCCTCAGTAAACGAGCCATGATCTCTCAACTCACAGTGCAACAGTGGCCTCGCCGTGTCCGCACTTCCACAGGATCTCTGTGATGGCGGCGGTCAGGGCGGCGCCCTGCTCGTCGCTGGAGGGCCGGTGGGCGTCCGAGGCTGGCGGTACGGAGCACAGCTGGGAGCCGAACAGCAGCACCTTCATCACGTACGCCTGCAGCACGGCCAGCACGCCGCACGGACCGCCCTGCCGGTGCACGAGGAGCATAGATGCACATTGCACTTAGTGAATACGTTCCATTGTAGCGACACTGGAGCGATCATATCGAGATAACGCCAAAACACGGTGCGAAACTGCCGGTGGTCCAGGAATGTCTCTGACCTTTGCATTGTATGATTCATGCGCGTACTTATTTCAACTTAACAAATCATTAATTGACATGACCCTTTTCCAAGCGCTTGAAACTATGCATAAAACATCAACTATCCGCCTTTCCATAGACTTACCTTATATTGGACAATTCCGTATGTGATGTTTTCTGTCTTGTTGAATGACAAGTTCTGCTTTGTCCATTCCGGGCTGAAGCTCATTGCCGTGGAACCCAGCATGAGCTCTTTCAGCTTGCACCCCTCCTGCTCTGTGATGGGTGTTCCCTTCACTGGTGACCGAGCCGCTACCGACCCCTTGCCGCCCATTGTCGCGAAGTCGGACACGAGTTCCCCCATCGTATCGTCGTCAACAATTTCCAGGTCGCCGAACATGTGGCGCTGATCGTTCTGTGGTGCCGGAGGGGCCGACTCCGACTGCTGCTCCCCACCGAACGTCAGCGAGGAGCGTCTCACCGTCCACGTGTCAAACCCTAAGGCACTTTGGGTGACCGGCTGGGCAGAAGCCGCCGGACGCACCGCGCGGGTCTCGGTGCGCGCAAACAGCTCGTGTGAGGGGACCGGGGGCGGGCCCTGCATCGCACTGCCGCGCCTCGGTGGCGCTGGCTGACGCGGCCCCCACGTATCGCTGGTGGACTGTACACCTCCCGTGATGCGCAGCTCGCGCGATTGTCGGATGCGTGCTCCGCGGCTCGCTGCCTCCTCTATCAGCCCCGAGGAGCGAGTACCGAGCGACGGATCATCCGTGGCTCCAGTCCCCATCATCTCAGTCCGCATACTGGCCATAGTGGCTCTGATGCGCTGTCGCTCACGCTCTTCCTGGGAGAGTTTGAGCACTTCGCGATTGGCCCCATCTTCGACCGCGCCGTGACGACCGGAGTCAGCCGGCTGTTTGTCGAAAGGATTGCGCGCCGCGACCTGTGGCCCAACAGCATGACCACGGATCATCATGGCACTTGGTGGGCCATGAGGTCGCGTCGGACGCAGCTTTCGGTCACCAGTCGCGCGACGCATCCCGTCAGTGGCAGCGGTGTCTTGGTGGCTGGTGCTGGTCGGAGAACGGTGCCATGAATCTGTCAGAGAGGGTACCGCTGGCGCTACCTGACGGGAGCCGAATGTAAACGTCTCGCTGAGTGCATGGCGAGCGTCGTCCAGAGCGTGTCCCGTCGCCTCTTTGCGAGTGAAGCGGTGCTCAGCGACGCGCACGATGTCCCAGTTGTCGTAAGAACTGGAAGCCAGTCCGAGCGGAGACTTCGCGAAAGAAGAGTCCGAAGTACTCGGCGCTGACGGTGGCTGCGATGGTGCTTCCTGTTGAGAAGAACCTCGACTGAGTCCGTAACGGCACGTAAGCGGGCGTACTGCGCCACTACCAACTGGAAGAAAGAAAAAAAGATTGTCATTCATTCGCTGAAGCCTATTTTTGGCATACATCTGATGACGTATCTCTCAAAGACTGCAGGTTGCTATCACCTAGCAAATGATGCATTATTTGGCGCCGATATACCGAGACACAAATGCACGGACAGCGTGACCGTAGCCAACACTGACCCCGGCAAATTACCTATTTACATCTGCCTTGGGTTGAACGTTTCATCGGAAGTCATTCCCGTTAAAAATTTACATAGCTCGAATGTGTCGTTCAAATGAAACTACTGTGATTTTGCTATATACTTTTTGCCAAAACAGATTTCGCATAAATAGCGTTGTAGGTACGTTCGTCTGCAATGCGTCAATTTGCAGAGCAATTTATTCCAATATGACATCCATAGGTGTTATTGCGTGCAATTATTCAAAAGGCACCCTTGGTCATGTTACTGGGTGGTTACTGGTCTACAATCTATGCCGCCGATCTCATGTTTCTTGGCGCCTATTTCGGACAAAAGTCATGCTAAATTCTCTTGAACGCAGTTTATTGAACGTTCATCGAATACTGAACCGAAAAATTACACCCCTCAACAGAGATCATGCCTCTGAGCGGATACACGAACTAAACATAAATCTACTAACAGTTTTCGATAGCAACTTATTACAAAGTCACGTTGGAACGATGTGAACATTTAATATGTGTCAATCTCAACAGTGCGAATCGACTAATAAGCCGAACCTGGCCTTTTTGGGTCTGGTCAAGACCTTGACCTTAGGTCATATATATTTAGCCGCCCTGTTAAGTTGACTCACAGCTGGCGTCGAAGCGCAGTGACAATCCGCTGAGCGAGTCGCTCTTCTTGCGCTGGCGGTACGAGTCGACGGCGGGCTGGAGCTGGAGCTGAGAGCGGCTATCGGCGCTCATGGCACCGCCGGCGCCGCTCCGTCCACCCAGCGCCGCCGCATCGCCGCCGACAGGACACTGGGACGGGTCGGCAGGGGGGACACCAGTCGCCACCAGTTTCGCTTTGTCCAATCACTGCCCCCCGGCACCTGGACACTGCCCTGGTACTGTCCGGCGCACTGGACTCCCCAATGCTCCCCGTTCACCGCAGAACCTCTGTCACATCGGGCCGCCGCCGCACTGCCTCTGACAGGGCTAACATAGTTCACTACATTGCCATGACTACCGGAGCTCTCTGTCCACCGCACTGCCTCGGTAGACCTCCCGAACCGCCACTGTTAGTGGTGCCGGTGGAATCCGGCTGAAGCGACACTGCACGGTTCGTCGGAAGGTCATCTCAGGCTCAAAAGAAACGGTATATACCATTCGAAAGCTGACGGTGAGCTGAATCCAAAAATGTATTTTTTATCAAAATCGATCGATGGCCTTTTTTGAAAATTGTGTTTTTGTAAAAACTTAATAATCTTTTATTCAACGGGCTGTCCCGGACATTCTTGAAAACATAAACATGTATTTTTGAGTTCCAGTGAAAGCTGAACGCCAAAAGAACAATATTTAGCGAAGCAATATTTCCAAACATTAATATGCGTCTCCCACAGCCGACAATAAGGCGCAATCACACATCTCAGTGTCACGATGGACCAAAGTCAGCCACACAGAAGCGTGAAATGACCCTTATCGACTCGCAGACCCGGCGCTCTCGGCCCGCCTGACCGGCCACGGAAAGAACGTTCGGCTCTCGTTCTACTAAACAAATGTAATATTTGCCACTTTAACTGTCCACATCGCTATTAAAGTTACTCAGGATACCTGTGAAGAAAATTCATTGTTCTGCTTGATTTACAACATGCTTTAATTTACATTTTTCTTATACATGTTTTGTTCCATCCAGCTGCGATCAGTGTCCGCGCAGGGGAAGTGAGCGGGGTTTCACTGTCAGAGGCTGTACTGGTGACAGCTGCTCGGCCGTGCGACCGGTCAAAGGTTACCCTGCCCCGCCGGGCGCCACCCCCACTCCACCCGAGCTGAGGCCGGTGCAGCCTCTGACATTTCAGCGCGGCCCATTTTCCTTATATGGGCATGATACCAAGCTCAATTGAGCAAAGTAGACATGAACAGATGCAAATTAATGCATGATGTGAAGATGACAGAACAATGAATTTTCTTCACAGGTATCCTGAATAGCTTTAATAGCGATGTGGACAGTTAAACTGACAACTTTGACATTTGTTTAGTAGAACGAGAGCCGAGCGTTCTTTCCGTGGCCGGTCAGGCGGGCCGAGAGCGCCGGGTCTGCGAGTCGATAAGGGTCATTTCACGCTTCTGTGTGGCTGACTTTGGTCCATCGTGACACTGAGCTGTGTGATTGCGCCTTATTTTCGGCTGCGGGCTGTGGGAGACGCATATTAATGTTTGGAAATATTGCTTCATTAAATATTGTTCTTTTGGCGTTCAGTTTTCACTGGAACTCAAAAATACATGTTTATGTTTTCAAGAATGTCCGGGACAGCCCGTTGAACAAAAGATTATTAAGTTTTTACAAAAACGCAATTTTCAAAAAAGGCCATCGATCGATTTTGATAAAAAATACATTTTTGGATTCAGCTCACCGTAAGCTTTCGAATGGTATATATCGTTTCTTTTGAGCCTGAGATGACCTTCCGACGAACCGTGACTGGACCGAACTGGCACCGACACTGGGACCGTACAAACGCCGACACTGGACCGTACTAGCGCTGACACTGGACCGAACTAGCACCGACACTGGACCGAACTGGCGCCGACACTGGACCGTACTAACGCCGACACTGGACTCGGCGCCAGGTGTTGGTATCGAGCGGCCGCCCTGGAAACGCCGACCCCTCCCCTCCCGCCCCGCCGCTCGACTGATCGATTGCAGTCCGATCTACGCCCCGCCCCGCCCCGGCCGGCCGCCGGTCGGACGGTCACGCTAGACATGGGACTCCATCAGACTAATCCTTTGGGTGCCAGGCTCCGCTTAGAGGTGACCGCCCGGGCTAATCGCAAATCAAAGAAAAAACTTCAGTTGTCTGGTCAGGTCACCGAGTCATGACATCATAAGTCGGATGCATTTAGGGCCTTGGATCACGTTCACGTTCGGCTGAATCCGGCGGATCTTGTAATCTGGGAGAAGTTTCTTGCCTTTTGTCATTTCCGCATTGCAAACGAGACAATGGATGTTTATTGATATCTAGCAGCTTTGTAAGGTCATGATTCGAGGTTAAAATCCCGCAATATAATGCTGATAGAAGCTATGGAGGCTATTAAATGGATTATCTGAGGTAGAGGGGGACATTTTCACGTAATGGTGATATAGGAGCTATGGAGGCTATTGAACGGATTATCCGAGTGAGAGCGGACGTTTCACGCCCCTTTCCATTCGCCTCCATGTGTTATTCGTGTGCTTTTATTGCTTTGTGGACTCTCGATTATAAAAGCCAAGCTATAGAGATCAAACGAAATAAGTGAATGAGTAAATGAGTGAATGAATGAATGAATGAATGAATGAATGAATGAATGAATGAATGATGAATGAATGAATGAATGCATGCATACCTGAATGAGTAACTGAATAAATGAATGAGTGAGTAAACGAATGAATGGATCACCCGCTTCAGGATGATGGTTCAGTCGTCGAGACACGGGGAAGGGCATTTTACGCCTCCCGCCCCTCCCCTCCCCCCTAACTCCGGTCCTTGGCCAGTGGCCACTCAGTGGCACACCGTGAGCGACGGTCGAAAGGTCTTCAAAAATATTCTTTAAAAAAAAAATCCGGCTTTTTTAGTTCAGGCAGAAGGTTAGGTCACCAGAGTCATCCGTGCTCCGAAAGTCATATTTTCACGGTTTTGCCATTACCTATTTTTCGGGCAAGTTTGCTCACAGCTCGTGAACTAAGAAAGTTAGAACATCTCAGATAAAGTGGACGATAGCTTTTTTAAAACTCTTTTTCTTATGTCTTCTCAGATTTGACCGGTCAACGGTTTAACCTCCAACGGATAAAAACCGTTAATAGTTAGATGAACGGTTTGGCGTCCACAGCACAGAAATAAGATAGACGTTTTCGTGGCAAAATATTTTTTCTGCGATTGGGCTTAAAACTGGCACGACATTGACTTTGCCGGCATCGTGTTCCTCTGAGCGAGACGCGTCGAATGAATTACAACTTGACCTTAAAAGATCTTCTGAAAACTTGACCTAAGGTTAAGGTCATGACCTGACCGGAAAAAGGTCATGTTGCATATAAGTAGATCCGTGTCGTTGAGCTGAACGCACCCAGGGTGTGTTCCTCGCTCTAGCATGTCCATCAACTTATCGTAAAAAACTGCTAGAGTAGAGACCTTTCATGACCTGAGATACGTAAGTCCAGAGAACGGAGTGACGATGCCGAGGCCGAGGGGAACGTCGTCGTGCTTCTTTCTCCTCCCGCCAGGGCCTATTTTAACATGTTAACTGGGGGGGCAAATGCCCCCGCACTCAACAGAATTGCCCCCCTAGTCGTCGAGATTTGCCCACTATAAGAATGGGCATAAAGGAACAGGGTGACAAACATACTACGTAACTACTGTGACTTGTTTTGCAATGGATGTCAAATGAGTCAGTCTGTAAGTAATGACCAGTGGTGTATCTAAGGGTGGGTCATATGGGTCATGACCCCCCACCCTCTTGGGGCCCGGGGACACCACAGGCCTGCCAGGGGCACCACCGGCCTGTCAGGGGCACCACAGGCCTGTTGGGAGCACCATCAACCTAGCAAGAGCACCATAGGTCTGCCAGGGGCACCACAGACCTGCCAGGGGCCCCACCGGCCTCGCAGGGGCACCACCTTGGGCCTGTCAGGGGTACCACCACAGGCCCGCCAGGGGCACCATAGGCCTGCCAGAGGCACCATAGGCCTAGCAAGGGCGCCACGGACCTGTCAGGGGCACCAGAGGCCTAGTATGGACACCACATGCCTGGCAGGGACACCACCGGCCTCGCAGGGACTGGGACACCTTGGGCCTGTTAGTGGCACCACGTGCCTGTCGGGGACACTCCAGGCTTGTCAGGAGCACCACAGTCCTGTCAGGGCCCAGGGGCACCACCGGCCTCAAGTGGACACCACCGGCCTCGCAAAGGCATCATGGGCCTGTCAGGGGCACCACGGGCCTGTCGTTGGAACTTCAGGCTTGTCAGGGGCACCACAGTTCTTTCAGATGCACCGGCAGCCTAGCACCATGGCACCATGTTTGGCCGAGGTCGCGATTCGGCGTATGTCGCCTCGCATTAGCCGCGCGTTTGCAGTCTTTTCGTGGTTCCAAACGTTCAAACATGGGATATGATGTTGCTCCCATGCATTAGGGTGGGTGTCAAGATCACCGGAAGGTCAGGTCAGATCATTTACCTTTGATGACCTCGGTTCACATTTTCGAGTTTTATATGTTTCTAGGCTAGTTTTTGGAGCTGAATTCGAATTAAGCAACCATTTGACCATTTACGAAGTAGTTTTGGTGCCTTCGTAACATGTTACGAAGCTGTCAGAGGCGGTTGCCACCTACTACGAATACCCGGCAAAACCCTTACTGGTTGACCTGACCTGACCTGACCTGGCCTAAATGCATGAAGACATCATCTATGATCATAACTAACATGATATTCGTGATCAGCACCCCGAAAAACCATAGCAGCCACTCTTAGGTGTTGTTTTTATCCGCTGGGACTGAGAGCGTGAGATGATGTTTTTCGTACTCCAGCGTAGATGGGTAGCCATACGGCTTCCACGGTTGACAGTGATGACATCAGTCATCTTTTGCAAGCTCGTTAAAGATTTGGGCTGTACGGGGACTCGAACCCCGGGCCTTTGGATTAGCGCTCCAATGCTCTACCTCTGAGTCTATACGCTGGAGTACTAAAAACATCATCTCACATAGCAGCCACTCTTTACGACGCTCTAACAGGTCCCGATTTTCCCGACTTTTGGGTCAATGACCTGACCTGGAAGGTCAACCGATGACCTAGGACCTTAAAATTGGGTATAATCGGCTTCCTTTCATCACGGGCAACACGGTCGTTTTTTCCGCGAAGCTCTAGCTCGATCAGGGGCGAAACGGCAAGGGGGAGGGTCCAACGGACCCCCCCCCCCCTATACGCTCGCTACTGGAAACACCAATACGGGCGAGGGTTAATGGATTATTAAAGACAATTTTCCAGGTTGCCCCCCCAGTCAAATTCCCTTAAAATAGGCTCTGCCTCCCGCCTCGATGTGTTACGATCGTATCATACCATCGGCATCCTGACATGGATTCGAGTTTATCTGTAGACGGCTTATAATAGGCAAATAAAATAACGTAAAAGGAATGATTATTGGTTAGGGCTCGGTAACCGAGCTCGGTTTGTGTTGGTTCTCTATTGCATCGTATAGATTGAATACTCCCGGACAGTATCTGTTCCGAGGACAATCTGTCGAGGAATCCATCCAGTCGTGTCTCGCGGGTCGGGTCGAAACGGTCTGGCTGGGTCCATCGACCCAGCCTGCGGTGTTCGGGACGCAGAGTGATGCGGCCCGAGGTCATTTGCCTGGATAGGGTTAATGAACATTAGTCTTGCCAGCAGGCCATGTGCATGTTTTGTTGTGCGCAGTGTGCAATGCATGTACAATGCACTTCGTATCATGTCATAGAAACTGATTTTAAATGCTAAAGCGCTTATAAATCCCGAGAAATTTCGACTCTGGCAATGTGTTATCATGTCGTCTTGATGCTGTAGGCCGAATGTGTAATGTGTGGCACTGACCATCTTTACTTTTTTTTTTGGCTTCCCGCTATGACTGAAAACATCGCATAATGCACATTGCACATTGATATGCCAGCTAACCTTTTGTTCATTGCCTTTTCAAAGTCTTCTGCATATGACAGAAGTTTATCGGGCGAGGCCGGAGTAAACTTGCAGTGCCTTTACAATAAGAGATCTATTTCTTCTTCGCCGACCTCGTACACAGTACACTCAACGGCAGGTGCAATACATCCTGACCAGGCACAGTGGACTCATCTTCCTGACCGGTGACGTCAACATCAATATGTCCGACGGCAACAACAGCACTGCGGCCAACAGGATGCGGGAGCTGCTCTTCACGTATTCCCTGCAGCAACACATTCGCGGCCCCACCTACGAACCGTCGGGATCGACAATCGACGTGATATGCAGTAACAGTGAGGTAGTGCGCTCTGGATCGCTCCACTGTGACTTTAGCCCACATCGGTGGTCACGGGTGCTTGTGACGGTGCCAGATTACCGACCGGCGCGCTGTAGCTCGACGGCCCGGTGCTGGCGTAAACTGGACGTGGCAGAGGCCGGCCGGCTGCTGCAGTGTGTAGACTGGTCTCCGGTGTTCGAGAGTACCGCGCCGGAGGCTCAGTGGGACTACTTTGTGAAGGCGGCCTTACCGATTATTGACAATCTCGCCCCCGCTAAACGGTTCAAGGCTCGTAACCCGACCGCTCCCCCCGTCACCGAGGCCACAAAGGAGCTCATGGCGCGGAGACGGGCGGCTCTCCGTAGCGGTGACCGGCCCCTCTACAAGGAGCTGAACCGCCGCGTGAGAGCAGCCATACGCCGAGACACCAGCGAGGAAATACATCGGCGCATCCTGGCCAGCGGACGGAGCTCGATGTGGCGCACCATACGACCTGTCATTTCAGCCAAACAGCCGACCAGACCGGCGCCCGGCGCTGATGCTGACACCATGAACCGATACTTCGCCAGTGTCGGAACCGTGACCGCCCGCCAGG